ATCTCTGTTCATGCACATGTGTTGCACTAGCTCCTCATTTGACAGCGCCCAGACACTACGAGATAGTGTGCAGTCAAGCAAAGTGTGTCGCCAATTGTCCTTCATCCCGCAAATAGCACAAGCATGAGAGTCAGCCATGTTTCGTCGGTGTAGCACATCGTTTGTTGGAATAGAGTGCTGAGCTAGCCTCCAAGTGAACACCTTCAGTTTAGAAGGAACCTTGAGCTTCCACACTGTAGTCCAGCCCCGCCGATCACCCTCGTCATTTGATGTATCTTCATGGCCCTCCAACCATGCTTCTCGTCCCCTCTTGACTCGACTGAGTAAGGAGTAAGCCGATCGCACCGAGAAAAGGCCTCTGGGGTCGCCGGCCCATGCCCAGAAATCCTGCACTTGCCTGGTACACAGAGGGATCTTAAGCACTGATTCAACATCTAAGGGAGTGAAAACTTGGCATACTAGCTCCTCCTTCCAGCATGCTGATGATGCATCAATGAGCTCAGAAACTGTTTGCGGAGGATTGTCGACCATGGCCCTGATTGGTCTCCATAACAGATCCCTGGGTATCCAATTATGCGCCCAGATGTTTGTTGTTGTGCCATCTCCTATTCTACGTATAATACCAAGCCTCATTATATCTCTACCGTCAAGGATTGCCCGCCAAATCTGTGATGGATGGTGGCCAAGCTCCGCCTTGAGAATTGTGGAATCCGGGTAATATACTGCCTTCAACAGCCTCCCACTCAGAGTGTTAGGTTCATTCAACAACCTCCATGATTGTCTTGCTAACAAAGCAAGATTAAAAAGTTCCATGTCTCTAAAGCCCAATCCTCCTAGTTTTTTTGGCTGTGTTATGACATCCCAAGACACCCAACATGGCCTTCTCCTTCCTTTTTGCTCCCCCACCAGAACTGTCGAATGATAGAGGTGATGCTTTCACATAAACCCCTTGGCAATCTGAAACAAGACATGGAAAAGATAGGTATGGCTTGAGCTACTGATTTGATTAGGACCTCTTTCCCGGCAGCTGCCAACAGTTTCTCCATCCAGCCTTTTATCTTCTCCCAAACCCTATCCTTCAAATACTTGAAGGTTCCATTCTTCGACTGCCCCACCTCTGTCGGCAGACCCAAGTACTTTTCACTGAGGGACTCATTCTGCACATTCAAACAATTTTTCACCTCTTGTTTAAGGGGGTCAGGACACCCTTTGCTAAAGTATATTGACAATTTGTCGTGATTGACTCGTTGTCCCAAAGCCGCACAATAGACATCCAACAGGTTTGACATCACATTTGCACCCTCCACGCTTGACTTAAAAAGCAACATGCTGTCATCTACAAACAAAAGGTGGTTGACAGCAGGAGCTGTGGGGGCCACCTTGATTCCGAGCAAAGACGACTGTGAACTTGATTTTAATAGGCATGAGAGGCCCTCTACTGCAAGTAAGAAAAGGTAAGGGGAAATGGGATCTCCCTGTCGAATACCTCTCGATGGATTAAACTATTCAAGCTTCTCTCCATTGAACAAAACCGAGAAAGAAACAGACCTCACCATGGCCATGACTATCTGAATCCATTGGGTAGCAAACCCAAGTTTGCCCATGATTGCTTCCAAATAATCCCACTCCAATCTGTCATAGGCCTTCATCATATCAAGCTTGACCGCACAGTAGCTATTTGATTTGGACCTGTTCCTCTTCATGAAATGAAGGCATTCATAAGCACATATAATGTTATCAGTTATGAGTCTACCTGGTACAAAAGCTGATTGCTCCTCTGATATGATCTCTGGAAGGACCACCTTCAGTCTATTGGCCACTACCTTGGAGGCGATCTTATAAAGCACATTGCATAGGCTGATAGGCCGGAATTGAGACAGCTGAGACGGGTTCATTACCTTTGGGATCAAGACAATGACAGTATCGTTGATACTTTCCGGGCTTTCTTCTCCCCTGATTATTCTCAAGACCACAGAAGTTACTTCATCTCCACACAGATCCCAGTGCCTCTGATAAAAATGTGCTGGAAACCCGTCGGGCCCTGGTGCCTTTGTGGGAAACATCTGGAAAAGCGCATGTTTCACTTCTTCTCTTGAGTATGGCGCGCACAGTGATTCGTTCATCTCAGGTGTAACTTTGCGAGGTACATGTCTCATGACTTCATCAATGCCGTGCACCCCTTCGGAAGTGTACAAAGATTTATAAAACTCTACCACCATCGCCTTCAACTCCACAGGGTCCTCCGTATATATTCCAAGGGAGTTAGAAAGGGCGTTAATCATGTTTTTCTTCCGTCTCATACTCGCCCTCATATGAAAGAACCTCGTGTTTCGATCACCTTCAGTCAGCCATTGTAACCGAGAACGCTGACACCACATTATCTCTTCCCTGTGGTATAACTCGACCAATCTATCACAAATCTTGATCTTCAGATGAACTGGTCTTGTTTGGGCTGGGTCATCACGCAGCTGTTGTAGTTGACGATTTAATTCCTTTATCTCCTTCCTCACACTACCAAAAGAGTCCCTACTCCATGATGTAATATCTTGGGATATACGCAGTAGCTTGTCCCTGAAGTCACCTACAGCATAGCCAGGCGATACCGCATTCCACCGCGTCGCGATGTTGTGCTGCCATTCCTCGTGCTTCTCCCACATTACCTCGTAATGGAAAGCTTTCGGGGCCGATATGCCCGGTTCTATGTTATCAAACTGAAGTAAAATCGTCCCATGATCCGACGATGCAGCCGAGTGGTGGCTTAGGGTAGCCAGCGGGAACCGTGCACACCAGCTGGGAGACGTCAGAGCGCGATCAAGCCTAACTCGAGTGTAAGACCCCCCCGCCACTCTTTTTTCAAAAGTCCAGAAACGGCCCTGATGGCCTAAATCCACTAGCATGCAAACATTAACCGCTTCCCGGAAGGCTTGTATTTGTGCATTACCGCGATTAGCTACTCCTTGATGCTCATCCGGACGTAGCACTTCATTGAAATCCCCCATACATAACCATGGCAAATCATTCAAAGTTGATATTCCTTTTAACAGATCCCAAGTCTGATGCCTAAGGTTTGTTTGCGCCTCCCCGTATATAACTGTAAAACGCCACGGCTCCTGACCTTCCACCTGCACTTTGGCATCAATATGATAGCAAGAGTCACCCAAGATCTCAATATTACTTGAATTATTCCAAAAAATTCCTATTCCACCACTCCTTCCTTGGCTACTTATTGCATAAGAATGTTCATACCCTAAAGTACTTGCTAGAGCTTCTACACATGCTCCCGCGATTTGAGTCTCCACAACCCCAAGCACGGTAGGGGCAAACTTTCTCGCGAACTCGCGAAGCTGTCGAACTGCCGCAGGTTTGCCCGCGCCACGGCAGTTCCAACATAAGGCACTCATTGGGCATGGCGGCGCTCCTCGAAGGAGCCCGCCAAGTTTTTCACCGTCGAAGTTGAGCCTTCCTTGTCTTCACCATTGAGCCTTGACCTCTTGAGATCTCTGGTGGGAAGCGGGCTGACACCCACACTTGCAGATTCCACGATAGCCAGCTCCAGGCCTTCTGCGCTCGCGGCTGATGAGTTAGGTAGGTTGCCGTGCAATGCCCCCGCTGAGATCCTCTTCCTATTGGTATCATCCATGTCAACATCCTCTTCCCTCTCCCTGTCCCCCTCTTCTTCCTCCTCACGTGCTTTTTCTCTAGGGTTGCTTGCCGGATAGTGGCCTCTGTCAGCTTCAAATCTGCCGCCTGTCCGTGCGTCAGCCCTTCCTCCTCTTCTACCTCCACCACGTCCCCTGCCTTCCCCAGGTCCACGCCCTGTCGCATAGCCCAGTCTGCTCTGAGATCCTTAAAAACCAAGGCTGACTTTGGGTGGATTCCGTTACCATGCTCCTTAAACAGGTGTCCCAACATACCACACACGGCACACCAATCTGGCAACTTCTCGTACTTGACCCTATAGATCTGTCTCTTGCCCTCTTTGATCATCGAGACTGCGTTCCTGAGAGGTTTCAGCACATTAATCCTCACCCAGACTCGATGGAAGTTGCCTACGAAATCGTGTGAAGGTGGTTCTGCAAATAACACCTCCCCCACCTTAGCGGCAAGCGGTGTAACCAGGTGTGAATAAAGATCAGGCACATCATGGATTTGGATCCAGATGTCAATTGTCTCCAGTTTGACCGTCAAGGGCTTGGAAATCCCATCATACGACGCTATGATCACTGCATCCCCTCTGAAATTCCATGGACCATCTTGCATAACTCTTTCCCAATCTCCCAAACAAGAGAATTTGCACGTATACAGATTATCTTCCAAAGCTTTGAACTTTACTACTTGCGCCGTGTTCCATGCAGATCTCATATTTCTATAGAACCAAGTTTGGCTATAAGTTTTTGAGGTATTGACCTTCGCAATGGCGGTCCATGGATGTTCTTCCGGCGGGGCCTGCTGCTCATCGAACACCACGTCATCCAAATCCTCCTCTGCCAGGCCCAATTCCTTCATCATTCTCTCCACATCGCTCACCCCCGATGATCCTGATGCTCCTTTCGAAGCCATTGTCCCTAACCCGACGTAGATCCGATCGGGTTTTGTTTGTGAACCCTAAGTCCGCCACACCCTGACTCCTTCGGATGAGAGAGCGACCAACGTTCGTCCCCTAGCCTTGATGGACAGAAGCAGGGAGGAAAACGGCGGCAGGGAAGTCCCACACTCAACGACGGCGTAGTCGCCGCCGAGAGAAGGAAGAAACCCTAGCGTGAGGGAACGGGTAGATGCGCTCTTGTCATGCAAAGCTGGGCTACGCGTTGCGGCGTTGCGGGCTACGCGCTGCCGCAAAAAGCAAAGCCCCCAAACTCATCAATTTCCGGCCCAGGCCCAGGAGGCGCTTTCTTTCCATTGCACGGCTTTTCCCAAGGGCGCCGCCGTTTTTCTCCGAAACCCTCCTAAAAATCCGAGGCACGCCGGCGGCCACCGTCCACGCGCAGCACCACCTCGCCATGGCCCGGCGGTTGCTCCACCTCCGGCCCCACCTCCCGTCCCTCGCTCCCCGACTCATCCCTTCGCGGCAGTACATGTCCGACATGCGCCGCTCCGTCTTCCTCGACCGCCTCCTCCGCTCCCTCCGCTCCGAGATCTCCTCTTGCCGCGCCGAGCCCGCCCCGCCGCTCCCGCCCTCCGCCGCGCCGTTCACCGTCGAGGACCGTCCCGGCGAGCAGTATGTCCGCCTACGCCGCGCGCTCTCCGCTGAGGAGGAGATCAGGGTGGACGCCTCAATGGTCGACGGCGCCGTGGCGCCCACCCGCTCGGGCGTGGACGCCCAAGACGGCGGACCGGAGGCCAGGATGCACATCAGTGTCCACGTCGAGGTCACCAAGCCCGCGCGGCCCGACTTTGCGCTCAACTTCGAGTGCTCGGCTTGGCCCGAGGAGATGGATGTGGAGAGGGTCTTCCCCGTCCGCCGCAGTGGCCCAGCGCCGGAACAGCAATACATGGGCCGCCAGTTCAGGTGACCGAACCTCGTTCTAGAATACTGTATTAACGAAAACATATTGCATAACGTAGCCATATTGAGACTGTTACTCTTTGGAATGATTGAGTATATTCATGTTCTTGCGATGCTACTTTGGTATGGTTGGCAGTTAGCACCAATGATTGATTGAAGAAATTGGACCAGGATTTCTGGCTCCCGGACCTCTTGTGCATAATTGTCCTGCCAAGCAATCCCAATGATGGGTAATATAACAACTTTTTATGTACCAAGTTCACTTTATTTTTGCAGAGGCCGTGAAAATGAACAACTTTGCACACACAAATTCCAATGCACATACTATCAAACATCTACTCCCTCTGTAAACTAATATAAGAGCGTTTAGATCACTACTTTAGTATTCTAAACGCTCTTATATTAGTTTACGGAGGGAGTACATGTTATTTTGAAGAAGTATTAAGTGTGTTTACCATGCCTACACTCGTAAAGGCTGGTGATCGAGGTAGAAGTACCAATGGCTCAGTGTCATGAACCTTCTCCATGTGATTCAGTAAGGCCTTGTTCGGTTGCGTGTAGAACCGAGGGGATTGAAGAGGTTTGAGGGGGATTTAAACCTCTTATAAGTCAAAATACATCTCAATCCTTGCCAATCCCCTTCGATCCTCTTGGGAGGAGGATTAACCGAACAAGCCCTAAGGGGGAATTAGCCTCCTTGTCAAATGGCTATCCTTGACAAAGGGTACCATTTATACCATAATCTACAATGTAGCGGGTATTCGTTCTATTAATAACTGAATTTGATATACTAAGGCATCCTTAAGTTTTTTATTTTTATATTCCGATGAAAACTTTAGTTCTTATAAACGATTAAATACTTTTCCTCTCAATAGCATCTAGCAGACTGGAGAAGTAATCATGTAATGGATGGAATGCTTGGGGTTGGGGGTTATGTTGGGAAACTTTCTTCCAATTTCAGTTCCGTGTCAAGGGAAGTTCAATCAATTTTCTTTCTGGACGAAGTAATTCATGTCTTGTGCAATAGCTGAATCACTCCAACACCTCTGGAGAATCACAATGTTGTCTCTTTAGGTTCAAGAAAGGGAGTAGTATGCATTGCTGTGTCAGAAAGTGGTGTAATCTAGCACTAGTGTACTGTTGCAAATCCTGCCATTGTTGTTACAAGTTATTATTGCAAAAGGATCTTATATTTCTTGTTTCTACTGGTGCTATTTTGTTTTGTTAAAATCCAGTCTTGTTTCCTTGAATTACAACTTACAGTATAGCATTCAACATTATGATCTCTTTTGAGTTGCGCTTCTGTCTTAGCATTATGAGATGCTAATATGCTTTCTCGCATGCTGGTGTTACCAATGAGCAGGGAGTTAGATGAGGAGATGCAAACTGCAGTGCGTGATTACTTGGAGGAGAGGGGAGTGAATGATGAGCTAGCAGCATTCCTGCACACCTACATGGAAAACAAGGAGCAGACAGAGCTTGTAGGGTGGCTTAAGAATATCGAGTGCTATCTCAAGAAGTAGACAGCATTTTCTAGGGACTTTGAATTAGATTAGTTGGTGTTTTGCAAAAGTTAACACAAACAAATGGGATGTTATCACAGCATCAAAAAGTCCTCGCTCTTTTCAGAAGATGGGATTATGCAGTGTGGACAATGTGATCCAGGGAGGATCCTCTTTGAAACAGTGGCCGTCGACAGAGTTTCTAGGTACCAAATGTATTCGGACGAACATATATTCTGACGAACCAAGTTACTGCGGACTGATTTACGAGCAAATTGTACCCTGCACGGCTGCACCTAGGGTGCTTATATTGCACTGTCGACACACACAAATGCAGGGACCGTCCCTGTACTCCGCATTTCCGCAATCCTGTTGTCTTGGCATAATACGGTGCACGCAGCTTGTCATACAGATGCCGGACCGTCCCTGAGAGCAGAATCGATGGAGTTCCTTACAGTACTCCACAATCCTGCTGTCTCGTAGAATACGGTATACACGGCTTGTCATATAGATGTAGGAACCCGTCCCTGGAAGCAGCGTTGATGGAGTTCCTTACAGTGTACCATTCCTGTTGTCTCCCATGATACGGTACAAACTGCTAGCCATACGTATATCGTTGACATCATTCCTGATTGGCATTCCATGTGTCATGCCTTCAGGCTTCAGCAAACAATTGATTCATTTTCAGAGGTTTCATTGAACATGAGCAACTATTGATGGCTTCATAGCAAAAGCACTGCATGGAACTTGGAATCTTGCCTCGGTAGTGCAACAACCAATATATAGGTACACACTAAGTCAGCAAGTCCAAAATCCATTTTAAAAAGAGAAGTTAGCAAGTCCAAAAGGATCCTATAACATGAACCGACCATTAGGATTTCTCAGCTTCATCTACTTCCATTGCCCCATTTTGTGCAAAACATTGGCTAGCCAGCACATTGGCAAGTCTAAAGATTGCAGAAAATTGCCAAGTTTCAAGAGGTTGGCAAAGTAAGTTGGTCGCCAACCAATTGGTAGCCAATGTTTTATGTTTTGCCTTGCCTACATTCCGTGAGGCCAATTTCTAGCACCAAACCCAGCAGCAGCTTCACCCTTCACAGGATGATCCAGGTACACGTACAGAGTTGGTCGGCGTAATGTTCTCACGTAAACGAAAGAATCTGATAAACTGCAGCAATTATGGACGAAAGTGTTTATATGTTGTCAAACATAAAGCACATATCTTACGAGAGTCAATTTGATCAAACTATACATTTTGTCGATTTGAGTGACACACGACACATCCCTTGTGCCGAAACTGACTCCACTTCATATCCACCAAAATTCAAACCATTCAAACGCTATGAAGGAGAAGGCTGTGATGAGCATATCCGGCAAAGCCCGGCCCGGTGACGGCGGTGGCGGGGATTCGCCCTTTGCGGCCTGTAGCAGCAGTTGCATCGGGGCGGCGGCGGGGATTCGCCCTTCGCGGCCTGTAGCAGCAGTTGCACCGGGGCGGCGGCCCTGTCCCGGCATGAGCAGACGGCTCTCTGCCGCGGTGGAGGTCGGCCAGGGGGCGGCTCGGCTGTGGTGGCTAGCCATGGCGGCTCTCGGGATACCGTGATGTTCGTGGCGGATCTTGGGCGTGCGGTAGTTGGGGTTGTCCTCTCCGGTGGAAGGCGAGGTGTGCTGCGGGTGGTTGCTGGTTGCGTGGTGGCAGCTCGTTGCCGGGAGCATGGCTGGGTGTGGTGGTGCCGTGTGCTTGCTGGCCTCGGCTCAGCTCGGATCTGGCAGGCCCGGTGTGGGATGGGTTGGATCCGTCAGGATCTGGCCAGAAGCGGTGAGTGCTGGATGCGGTGGACCAACTGGTTTGGTATGTGCGTTGAAGACGATGCGAGGCGAAAGTCTGCCTCCGGCTATGGTCGGAGCCAGCAGCGGCGACGTCCGCGGGCGTCGCTGCCTTTTTGAAGGTGCTGCTGTGGTGAAGTGATCGTCTCCCTTATTGTCTCCTGCTCCGAGGTTAACCTTAGATCTGTGCTCTCTCGGATCGGATGATGGTCGTGCATTGCGTCGCTCCCCTCCTGTGGGCATCATTTTTGGAACAGGGATCGACAGAGAGACCAGTGGTGGTGGTGGTGCGACTGACTTGGAGTCTGACAGTGGTTGTTCGGTGGTCTCCTTTGGGGTTTGGCGGCGGTGCCTTCGACATCGCAAGTCGGCCATTTGTTTCCCCCTCGTGAAGGTGTCTCGCTATGCATGCTCAAGACCCTCGCATGGCGGCCGATGTGTTGCGGCGAGCATCCTACTCTTGGTGATGTCTTGGTTCATCTTTGCTCTTTGATGGCGCAAGATGCCTCCCCAATTTGCTAATTGTTTCGATTTGCTGTGGCGGGGCTCCCAGTCAAGGTTTGTGTTTTTGCACTCGTTGATTGTGGATGCTCCTGAGTTGTAACATGGGGCTCGGTATGCATGCAGTGTGGTGTGTTAGGTTGCTCGCAAAGTATAGGTATTGTGATCCCTCGATGACACCCCACAACTATTTGTGTCTTTATGGTGATGGTCCTTTTAGTCTGCTAGCTAGGTCTTGCCTTATGTTGGGCTTGTGTTCTTCTCTTCTTGTAACTTTGTTACTTGTATGGTTTTCGGCCTAGTTTCCCTTATAAACGGGTCAACTTGTTTAGGTTTTCGATCTGGTTTCCCTTACAAACTGGATCACTCTTCTGGCATATTGGCTACTTTGAGCAATATATTCAGGTGGAGGGACTCCTCCCCCGGTGATTCTAAAAAAAAGATGCGAAATCCGACAGGCTGTGGATGCGACTCCTTGGCTATGGCTGTCGGGTGGTAGGTGCGACATATGCCAACGGGTGGCTTATCATTGTGGGAGCCAGTAAGACATCGCCGGTGCCTGGAAATGGGATAAGGCGAAGACATGCACGCCGGCGGATCTTACCCAGGTTCGGGGCTCGCCGTGGAGATAACACCCCTAGTCCTGCTTTGCGGGGTCTCCGCATGATCACTAGATCAACAAGTGGCTACAAGAGGCTCCTTGAGCTGTTCGATGGGAGGAGGAAGAAGGGCAAGGCTAGCTCTCTTCTCCCCTCTATGTGGTGTCTAAAACTCTTAGAGATCAACCCTTTGCATGGGTGCCCTGGGGGGTTTATATAGGCCTACCCCCCAGGGGTACAATGGTAATCCGGCTGGGCGTGGGCCCTAGCCATCAGTGTCTACGGTTGTCGGCTTCTGCGCCGGCCGCTGGGGCCCGCCGACTGGCGGGTCCCGCCGGCTGCCGGCCTCTTGGCCGACAGGCAGGCCCCATCGCTTGGGGGTCTTGTCGGGCACTGGTTACTGTTGCCTCGCCCTTGATGACGAGGGCTTCATCGAGGTAAGTATGGCTACAGTGCCACCGCCTAGCGGGCTCTCAGTGTAGCCTTACCTCGTCTTGTCTCCTTAATGGCGCACGTGCTTCGAGGAGGGGAGCAAGCCGGCCATTGGAAGCCGGCCGCATCCCAGGCCGGCTGGGGGAGGCATGGCCACCTTCGGGCGTCTCTTTGACCAAAAGGGCCCGCCGCCTGCGGGCCGTACTGGCAGCCTGTCGTTGAGGGCGTCATGGTCAGCATGGCAACAGTGCCGCACCGGACGGGTGATGGCTTCCCCAT